TAACACCAGGGGGCAGTATTCTGGGGAGTCGCTTATGGTTGGGCATGGCTTTGGTTTTATGATGCAGCATCTTTATCCCTGAGCAAGACTGCCTTGCCTTGTGGAGGTTGTGTAATGTCAGGATGCCTGCAGTTTCCCCACATGTGTCAAATTCAGGGTTGTCAACTTGATGTTTTGCTAAACTGCAGGGGCATATTTTCTTGCAGTGAATTCTTATGGCCTTTAGGGACTTTGGCTTAGTCTTAGGATGCTTGTGAACTGTTCTCATGACCTTCATCTTGACACAGAAGCTGGGCATAGGCTTCCAACTAGAGATTGTTCTCATAGAGAAGTGCAAAGACGAGTAAGTGAATTAGATTGTGGCCTTAATGGTGTGTTTTTTTGCTTTTTTCTTTTTCACTAAAGGTTTGTGTTCCTCCTGGCCTGTTTGAAAGTTACCTGCTCTACTTGGTTGCCTTATGCAGGAGTTACTGGAGAGGCAAATGCCCTGGGCTGGGGAGGCTGGAGGACAGGTGATACAGCCTCTGCTGTAGACACTCAGTTCCAACAGAGAACGCCTCAGAAATGTGGCTCAGTTCTAGGGCCAGTCCCTTAGGGTGGTACCTCAGTCTGGAGAGTGAGGGGTTCAGCCCATCTGAGAATACTATTAGGGCTGACCCCGCCTTTCCAGGTTTTATGACACTGGAATTTTTGTGCTGAAACAGAATTGAACCAGCCCCCAGGAACATAAAGGGGGTGCACTCGACTCCCAGGGGACTTTGTTGAGTGCATTTCCTTGTGGGTGCTCACGCTCTTCTAACCACTCTTTGCCTGGGGTGGGGATGTGGTATTGACAGGGTCACTCAGATGTACTGGGTTCAGTCCCTTTTCCTCACTACTCCTGTGTGTCTTGTGTCTCTCAGATCCTATTGTCTGTTCTCGGTATGTCACGTTTGGTGTCCTCAGATTATTCCACAGGAGAGCTGTCCTCTCCTTCTCAGCTTGTCATTTTGGAAGCAGCCTCCAGGATCCTTGCGTTCTCCCTCTGACTATGCCCAGGCCTCCTATCCCTTCACCTGCACCCTAAATAATTAAAAGAAAGCCTCTTTCTTGGGAGAAGAAATCCAGCCGAAAAATCCCGTAGTTTTCCCTCAACCCTGTATCGTGGGTGGCGTGGCAGAGCGTGGACTGAATTCATTGATCCCCCCTCCTCCAAAAGGAAAAAGTAGGGGGTTGGACTGATGGGAGCCGCCTGACCAATCATTGCTTTGAGGAAGTTTGGTTTGTGATCCTATTTCATTAGGCTGATTGGAGCAGCCCTCACTCGGAGGCAGAGCCCCTCCTCACGGGTTTCCTTGTAGTTATACTCTCGGCTGCTGTCCCCAGTGTCTGCCTTTTCGGGACCGAAGTGACCTCGCCTCACCCTCTCCGAGCTCCCCTGCTGCTGCTCATTTTTTGTTTTTATCCAGTGTCTCGCTTCCTCTCTCTCCCTCCTCCCTCAGTCTCTTCCTCCTGCTGTCTACCTCCCTGCAGCGCCAAGCCAGCTCCCCAGCCTGGTCTGCCAAGCGCAAACCGCTGAGAGTTTGCTGAGCCGCCTGTTGGGGCCGGGCCGCCGATTCTCGCTGAGGCAGAGACGCAAGCGAGGGAGAGCAGCGGAAGAAAAACAAGCAGGCGCGCGAGGGGAGCCCCAGGAGGGCGGCCAGTGGCTGGCAGGCGGCTCTAGCCGAGCCCGGGTCGCCTGTCGGGTGGCGGCCGGGGCGAGCCGACGCTGACAGCCGGGAGACTTATGCACAGAAAGTTGGACTCCTGGTAACCGCCGCGCCGCGCTGCGCCCCCCTGCCCGCGCTTCCTCGCGGCGCCCCGGGACAAGGAACTTGTTCTTCGAGCAGCTCGAGCGTGTGCTTGCTAACGTGAGAGAGACGTGTGTGCCGCGGGCCGGGGGTGGGGAGCGGAAGGCGGCGACCGGAGCGAGACTGCTTACGGAGAGCGCAGAGGGAGCGCGAAGCGACTGGGACCCATGCCGGCGGCCAACATGATGGAGAACCTGCGACTGCCCGCCCTGCAGGTGCCCGAGCCGCAGGCCGCGCCCGAGGGCAGCCCGGTCTGGTCCAGCTCGTCCACCCCTACTCTCCGGCGCCGGCGCTTCAAAATGCGCCGCATGAAGAACGTACAAGAGCAGAGCCTAGAGGCCGGACTGGCCCGGGACTTGCCCAGCGTCTTGGACCCTGGCAAGGAATTTCTGCAGCTGCCGTCCATCGAGATTACGCCCTCCAGCGACGAGGACACCCCGTGGTCCAACTGCTCCACACCCAGCGCTTCCCCGCGCCGAAAGCGCTTCCTCCTCCGCAAGTGGCTGAGAGTCAGGGAGCGGAAGGAGTGCAGTGAAAGCAGGTACGTCCCTGTTCCGCCCGCAGCCTCCTTCCTCTTTTCTCTTCCTCCTCCCCAGAGCCGTCCGGGGCCCCAGGGCATGGTAGCGGGAAACTTCGGGAGGACTGCAGGAGGCCTTCACAGCCTCCTACAGCGTCCGCTGTACTAGAGCTATCAGAACTTGAGCTTCCACGCTTGGCACCCGTTTCCCCAACCCAGTGTCAGGGGCCAGTGACTTCATATTATATAACACGTTTACATGGGGCTTAACGAAGCAGCCCATCGCATTTGATCATCAAGACAAAGTGAATAATAAAAATAGTAGCAGCTAATATTTATTGGGCCCTTACCATGTGCGGAACACTCTACTGAGCACTTCACCGTGTTATCTCCATATTTAATTCTAGCAAACACTCTGAGGTGGGTACTATTATTATTCCCATTTTACAGATAGAGGTTAAGTGGCTCCTCCGCTTGAACTATATTCCTGGACTTCATTTCCATTTTTATTATTTCATATTTGGCCATGCCAGGCTGCCTTTCCTTGCCTACGTGTGTAGAGGAGCTGGTGGAGTAGTCACGTTGAGTGAGCCACATTTAGGTCTGGTCCACCCCACTAGTTTGTAACGGCTACTTTTTTTGCCAGGGTAAATGTGGCATCAGAATAGCAGGGGAGAAACCCCGAGAGTATGCCCCCCTACACGTTTTTAACTCAGTACTGAAGTCACTCCTGAGGTTCACCTTCAGCCAAAGATTAGACAGGCCCATAAAACAAAACGAGACTAAATGGGCACACCAGGCCAGGGGCAAGGAAGAGAAGGCAGAAGGGGACAGGAAACCTGGTAACGGGGAACCCAAGGTCTAGAAGGGGAGATTGTTGACATGTCGTGGGGTTGGCAACCAATGTCACAAAACATTGTGTGTACTATTTGTTTAATGAAGAACTGATTTGCTCTGTAAACCTTTATCTAAAGTACAATTTTTTTTAAAAAGAGGAAGTTCGTTTCCTGTAACAGAGGATTAGTATAGAAAATCAGAGGGCAGCTCCACACAGCCTTGGCCCCAGAAGTGCTTCTGGGAGTAGTGTTTGAACGGAACCCAGTTGGAGAAGGAGGGTGGAAATTTCCTCCCTGGCTCATTGATACCATATGCGCTACTCTCTTAATTTTAGACTTACTTGCCCAGACATTTAACAACAGTAGTTTGTGCTCTTGCCTGGGACAACTGAGCTGTTGACCACCTTCCCCGGGCCTTTTTCCCATTCCATTCAATTTCATTCATTTCAATTCAAGTATTTATTGAATGTTCTTGTGAGCTCAGTCTGGTACAAGCTAAGAGTGATGGTGGTTGAAGACAGTATGGGGAAGGGCTGGATAGAGTGAGGGGATGTGGAAGTTGAGAAACAGGATGGGGAGGATAGATGTATAAGAAATTAAGACATTTGAGTTTCCTGTTGAGGACATGGAAACATAGGAAGATAAATACTCTGCCATGAGGTGCTGATTGTACAAGAATCCTGGAGAAGTAGGGAAGACTTCTGGGAGTAAGAGGCCCAAACCATGAAAAATACACACAGGTGGTACAAAACATCAGGACAAGGAACAGGTCAGGGGCATGAGATCAGATCAGAGAAACGGTATGAGTGATGGCAAAAGAAATGGGGGGGCCTTGTGTCTTTGAGCGAGACCCTGAGGAATCAAGCCATGTAATGCAGAAGATGAGTGTTTTAAGCCTTCAAAGGTTTCTCTTTTCTGGTAGCAATGACTGAACCTGGCTATCCCTACAGGACCGGATCTAGACCTTTGTTCTGGGGTTTTTCATGGACTTTTGGGAATAACAGTTCCTTCTGTTCTGGTAGTTCATCCTGTTGCCTTTTGCATAGAGGGAAACGAATATCAGAGACCCCTAGTTGGTCTTGAGATTCTGCCACGTATTGTTGTTAGCTGCTGTTGAGTTAGCTCCTGACTCATGGTGACCCCATGGACACTGAGGGCAAAATATGGGGAACTGAGTCTTATGTTACCAGTCAAGGTAGGGATAAGAGTGGATTTGGTTAGATTTAAGGGAGCCCTTCCTGGAAACCCTGGTGGCATAATGATTAATAGCTATGGCTGCTAACCAAAAGGTCAGCAGTTCGAATCCACCAGGTACTCCTTAGAAACCCTATGGGGCAATTCTACTCTGTCCTATAGGGTCGCGATGAGTCGGAATCAACTTGACGGCAACGAGTTTTATTTGGGTTTTTTTTTTCCTGGTTTTGAGAGTGAGATGGAGTCTTCCTTTTTGTTGGTGTGAGGGACATATTCTTAAAAGCAGGAAGGATTTTCACTTCCTAGGTGTAGTTTGGAGCCCTGGTGGTACAGTGGTTGAGAGCTATGGCTGTTAACCAAAAGGTTGGCAGTTCTAATCTACCAGCCGCTCCTTGGAAACCTTGGAAACTTCTACTCTGTCCTATAGGGTTGCTGTGAGTCAGAATCGACTCAATGACAATGAATTTGTTATGGGTTAGGTGTAGTTTAGAGCCCTGGTAGCACAGTGGTTAAGCACTCAGCCGTTAACCAAAAGGTTGGTGCCTCGAACCCACCAACTGCTCCAGGGGAAGAAGATGGGGCAGTCTGCCTCCATAAAGATTTACAGTCTTGGAAACTCTGTGAGGTAATTTTACTCCACCCTATAGGGTCGTTATGAATTGGAATCGACTCGATGGCAATGGGTTTGTTTTTGTTTTTGTTTTTTTTTTGGTTTTAGGTATAATTTAAGGCAATTATTCTAAATGATAGTTCCTTGGATTAGAAGAATGTATGTATATATGTAGAAGAATATGTGTCAGACTCAAATCTCTACTCTTTGCCACTGTGTTTTACTGCCTCCTTTTGGAATCTATCTGGATTGTGGCTAAAACAAAAACCTGCCGTCCTTCGGCCTTGAAAATGGAAGGTTTCTTGAAAAAAAAAAAAAAGAAAGAAAAACAATCAGGTGAATAGTTCCTTGCAAGATTGCTCGAGAAGAAATTGGCGTTTTGAGGCAGTGAATACAAAGAATGTTGGACTTCAAAGTCAGGAGACTTAGGTTTAAATTTAAGTTTTGTCATTTATTACCTATGGAGCCTTGGACACTTCAGTTTACTCTGAGTTTCACCATCCTTCACCATCCTCATCTGTGGTTAATGTGAGGTCTAAAGAGTAGCACATGTGAAAATGTTTTGTAAACTTCCCCTTGCTGTGCAAGAGTGAAGGATTATTGGCATTATTTTGTTGAGTGGCTCACATGGTCCGGATGTGTGCTTTAGAGTATGTGGTTACATACTCACGTGTCATGAAGCAGCACCTGGGACTTCTCATGCATTACACTGTTTGGAAATGATGATTGGAAAATGGCTCTTCTCCGGGATGGATTAGGGGGGATTAGCATACCAGGCCCTTCACGGCGGCTTTCCTCTACCTGTTCCCCACCCCTAAATCTGCTTCTCTGAAACAGAGAAAAACATCTTTCAGGCTTGCCATAGGGTTCAGTCTGAAGTGGTAAAAGGCCTGGGGCCAGGAGGGCCACTGCACAAAGTTGAAAATGTAGAGAGAATCAGGAGATCTCATTGTTCTCAACACTAGGAAAGAGAGGGAAAAACGGTAAAGTCAGCATGAGAGGGTTTGGGCATCCAAGGATGCAGGAGAACAGCACTGAAATCCTGCAAGTCCAATCTTGTCTGGTTCATCTTTTGTATCCTCACTGCCTGGCACTCTACCTTCCTCTAATGGTGATCCATAAATGTGTGTCAGCAAAGATGTACTGAGACCGTATATACAAAGTGCTTTATAAACAAAGAGAATTCAACTCAATGGGGAGTGGTATTTGAGGCAGATAATTCTTGCTGTTCTATCTGAGTTGGGTGGAAGCATAGTAAGGTGGAGGTCAGAAGCCTTGTGGTGTTCTTTGAGTGTTCTACCTGGGAATCGTTTTAGCTACCACTTACTGTAAGATGGCACAATTTCTTGCTGGCCTTGTTTGCCCTGTGAGCTCAGTGAATGTAGGCTGAAGTTGACGGGACAAACTCTTGGAATTAGTACCTGCATGTCTCCCTAAATCCCTTGGCTGTAACTGGTTGTGGGGATTGTTCGAAACACCAGCTGAGGACTGGAGCCCCTCTCAAACCTGTTGGATTATGGCGAGAAGTCGGAAATCGAACTGAGTTACATCCTCTCAGATAGCATCAAATGGCTATCGTTCCCTGGAGGGGGATGGGAAAGCTGAGGGGCAAGTAAGTTGGTGCAGATGGCTTACTGCAGGCTGTCTTTCCAGGGGACACAGAAACACCTCTCTGCTTCTCTCTCCCCAGGGTCACCTCCTTATTATTGCCTTTTGCACTACCTTTCCCCCGGATGTTCAGTCCCCTCTTCTGTATAACGGACTGACCCTGTCATGATGGCTCATGGTCCAGCAGGCTGACAACCACCTGGAGCCTCAGGGTTTCTGTTTGACTGCTCATCTGCCGCTGGTAGCACCTCTCCCTGATTCTGCCCAGCCTGGTAGGCCAGGTGGTATCTCTCCGGTGCTGGCGTGTGGCTTTGCAGGTAATGAGTCTACATCCCTGGAATATTTACCTTGATTCTTCATCCTTCTCCTCTCACCTTTGGAGGGATGGGTTACCCAGTAAGCAAGGCATGCACAGGCTTACTTGTGCTTACTTATTAATCTGTAGTGCACAATCAGAGATGTGGTGAAACCCATGTGAAATTGTGCCTTACAGATTAGTAAGTAAACGCAAGCCTATGTGTACCTCACTTACTGTAAGCCAGTGCATACCTTGCTTACTGGTTAATCGCCCCTGGAGGAAGACTTGTTTCCAGTTTCAGCTCAGTTTCCAGGAAAGCAGGGTGACTGTGTGTATCCACATGCTCTCCCCATCAGCTGGTCACTATTTGCATAGCTCCCTGCCCTGAGTGTACCTTGCCATGTATGAGAAGCACAGGGAGTGTGGGAGGAAGAAAACTCAGTTCTTTCTTAACACAAAGCAACACACAGTTGCAGAGACCTGTGATTTGATTAAGTGCTGGATAGGGTTAATTAACAAAAACCTCTACTAGACCCATAATTCCTTGAGGGCAGTGACTGTGGTTTACTGTGTGCCAAGTTTTCTGCTAAACTTCTTAAATACATTATCTCGTTTAATCCTCACAACAAACCCCTGAGGTAGCTTTTACCTCAAGGGGAACCTGAAGTTAAGATTAGACTGCTCCAGGTCCAACAGCTAGCAAGAAGCAAGGCTGAGATTTGAACCATGTTCTGAATCCAAGCCCAAGCGCTTTACAGCTATACTGTGTTATCCCCCCAGGGCCTGAAAATGAGCGACCCTTGCGTGTTTGAGAATGGGTAGATGTGGAGGGGACGATTCTGAAGGAAGGTAGGAATGAGGTAAGGATGACAGGAAGGCCTCTGAGGAGAACTGTGTTGGGGCTGTGGGAAAGTGAGTGCTGTGGTAGGGGATGGGGATGCTGACTCACCTCCACTCGACCACTCTGAGAGAAGCAGTTGGCCTTTGGCTGTTGACGTGGTTTCCAGATTAAAACAGTTGGTGGAAACCAAGAAGGTGGTTAGGCGGAGTCCTGTGGGCTGATTTACACTGGCCATGTACCTCTCTGGGAGTTGGTATTCTGAGATTTCCTTGGTGGTTATGCACTCGGGTGCCAATTACGTGTCAGGCAAGAGAGCCTGGGGGGTTGGGGGCAGATTAACCGGTGATAATTCTACCCTGCCTAGTTTGTTTCTCCCAGGTACTGTATCTACAAGTTGCTATGCTGGTCGCTGATAATTGCTTCCAGGATAACTCAAATGTTTTCATTAAAGCTCTGAGTGGTTAAGCTGCCAGTGGAGAGTTTCCTTCCTGACCCCAGTGGACAAGCTGTTGGACCCTCGAGCAAGTTTTGATACGGACCAGGCTGGCCCACAGAGCCAGGAGATGATTGCTGGGTTGCTGCATGTATGAGAGCTTTATGAAGTCTGAGTGCTTCTGTGGGAGCTTTGCCCTGCTGGGATGCTTTTCTCTGTAGCCCACATCAGTGTGGTGACTCACCAAGGGGCTGTTGTACCTGGGGTAAGGAAGACATAGCTCTTAAATGTCCTGGGGAGCCCATGAGGTTTTCCCAGTGACCTGGAGCCTGGAAGAAGCTTGTTTCTCTCAGAGGAGATGGCGAAGCTTCCATCAGGCATGCATAGCAGAAAATCAAATGTGGGCTTTCAAGTGTGAGAAGGGATGTGGGATGAGGATGCTTTGAGTTGGTGGAAGAGACGTCAGGGAGTGGCCTGCCACTGCACATGCCACTATGGGCAGCCACGGGCCATCTTAAAGAGAATCCTGATTTCAGATGTTCTTTTCTGTTTTCAGACTGTGTGTCTAGATTTTTGATTCAGTTATATGGTCTAAAGTCATCGCCAGGAAAATGTGGCTGTGCTTTAAATAAGACTTTAGTGGTGGAAGAAGAGAGAAATGAGGAAAACCATGGCTTTTTTTTATTCTACCTTACACAAGTTCTGGCTTTCTCAGGTTTTCCTGTGTGCGTGAATATATGCGCGCACGCGCACACACACACACACACACACACGGGAAAACCTGTGAAAGCTGGAACCTGTGTAAGGCAGAAACCTGTCAGAGAAGGAACACTCAAATATTTTCCACTAATAGAGAGCGATAGAAAAGTGATTTAAGTCTGCACCCTGTCAAAGGCGGAAGACTTGAGAGACCCGGAAAAACAAGGCAGTCCTGTCGAGTTCTGGCTCTCAGGTTTCACTGTATATAATATTTGCCATTTCAACATTTTTTAAAAATTGTGGTAAATGTATATATAACAAAACATTTGCCATTTCAACATTTTTTACATGTACATTTCAGTGGCATTAGTTACGTTCTTCATGTTGTGCAACCATGACCGCTGTTCCCAAATTTTTCCATCACCCTTAACAAAACCGTAGCTTTTTCATTTGAGGCCCTGATACATTTTTTGATTAGGTGACGTGAAACCCTTTCTTCCGCATCCTTCCTACATACTATGACTGGGGTGAGACTGGTTCAGCCCTGATTTGTAGAGGAGATAAAGAAATAAGGTGACACAGGAAGTCACAGTGGCAGAGCTGGGTTATGGGCCGGGACTCAGGCCACTTGCTAACTAACCTGTCACATCTCTAAGAAATCCTCCTTTTTTTAGGGTCTCTCCATTTTAGCACATCACGAGGTACCTGTTACCTCCGTAATCTGACCACAGAGCTTTTTGGTCTTGCTGCTTCTGACTGGCGAGTTTAGCCAGGAAGTGAGTGGGTTGCATGAAGGACTAGAAAAACAATCAATAACCCACTTGTTTTTCTTCCTTTCTTTTGCAACTGTGGAAAAACAATTAGCCTGGGAACGCAATTTGGGAATGGGTGATTATAGTAACCCTTGTAGTATTTGCCTCAACAGTTAGGAAAATATGGAATGATGAGGGATTGTTAGTGACACATTTTTTAAACTCTTCAAGGGTCCTCCAGCTTGTTGTCTTAAAATAAATCATTTTTATATTATAAAAGTCAATGAATATTGAGTGTACAATAAAATGACCAAACCCATTGCTGTCGAGTTGATTCTGACTCCTAGTGACCCTGTAGGACAGAGTAGAACTGCCCCACAGCGTTTCCAAGAGGTGGCTGGTGGATTCGAACTGCCTATCTTTTGGTTAGCAGCCATTCAAAAATGACCAGTTACCTTAAAAATTTTAGATAGTAGGGAAGAGGAAAAAAAGTTCATAATTTTATCCTGGTACCCAACCATAAAAGGTCCCTGGGTGGTGCAAATGAATTACTCTCAGCTGCTAACTGGAAAGGTTGGTGTTTGAACCCACTCAGCGGCACCACAGAAGAAAGACCTGACAATCTGCTTTTGTAAAGATTACAGCCAAGAAAACCCTTTGGAGCAGTTCTACTCTGTAAGACATGGGTCACCATGAATCAAAATCGACTTGACAGTAATGGGTTTAACCCAACCCTGGGCATCTTTGCTGTATTATCTTCCAGTACTTTTTCCTCATTCAGATTTTCTTTTTAGTTCAGGGACTTTTTTCTCTTTTATCTGCTCTTCTGTACCTTGCACTTGTAGAAGATAAGGGAGAGCATAGATTTGTAGGTTGAGGACAGGGAAGTCTCTGAAATAAGGAAAAAAAATGAATTTCTAAAGTGCTATTTCTAGCTGAGCCATTAGAGTGAGATGCTTCTGCAAAATGGGTGCAGGACATCTCTCAGGAGTTTGTGCCACTTAGCCTCATCCTCATGTTCTCCAAGCCTCAAGTATGCAAGTTAGCGCCAGGCTGACCTCTTGGAGCAATCTGCCTTGACCCAGTGAGCATTTGTTTTCTGGTTGGGTCATTATACTCTGAAGCTCTCTCTGACCTCTGTCTGTGGATTCTCAGGGTTAGATGGAATGACAGCGATAAAGGTTACTCTGAACAGGGTGGAGCTTCTCCTGGGAATAGTTTGCCCTTAGCTTGCATGATAACATGTGCTTTGTCTATCTTTGTGATGAATCACATCTTCCTGGCATGTGAAAATCTCATTTTTTTTTTTTTTTTAAACAGATCCCCAGGAAAGAGGATTGCACCATCTCTTGGTCACCTCTATGTTTTCAACATATACTGTTGAGAAGGTTCTACCTAAGATCTAACTGGAATCCCCCATGGTACAGTTCAAACTCATTTTCTTTTGTTTTGTCCACAGTGAAGATGGAAGAATAGCTGGTCATCATTCTTTGAGAATCTTCCTTCAGAGACTCATTATATGTAACTTGGGCTGTTGCTTCCAGATTTTGAGGAGAGCCCTGACTTTGTACTAGCAATTACTTGGACCTCACTGGTTTTCCAGTGGGGTCTGCAAACTCTGCAGACTTATTGGTGAAATTGTTAGCCAAGTACATTAAAAGAGAGCCAGTCTTTGAGATGAGCAGAGTAGAAAGCAGCCGGCCCATTCAGAAAGTTCCTAGGAACACTGAAAGAGTCCTTTCTCTCTGAAGTGCCTTCTCCATGCTTGGATTGCTTCCTAAAATGCCTCTATCAGGTGATATGCCTTTTGTTTCACAGTCAGAGAGATAAGTTTGAAAATGTCGATAACTCAGGAGAGGTCATTCTCATAGTTCAGCATTGCTGTTGAGTCAGTCTGACTCACGCATGTCAGAGTAGAACTGTGCTCCATAGGTTTTTCAATGGCTGTGACCTTTTGGAAGCAGATCGCCAGGCCTTTCTTCTTGGCACCTCTGGGTGGATTTGAACTGCCAAGCTTTTGATTAGTAGCTGAGTGCTTAATCATTGGTGTTTTGAACCCACCCAGAGATACCTCGGAAGATAGGCCTGGTGATCTACTTCTGAAAGGTCACAACCTTGAAAACTCTATGGAGCAGCTCTACTCTGCGCACGTGGGGTTGCCATGAGTCAGCATCAACTCAGTGGCAACTAACAACAACAACAAGGCAGGAGTTCCCAGGTGGTACAAATGGTTAATGCGCTCAGCTGCTAACTGAAAGGTTGAAGGTTCAAAATCCACCCAGAGGCTCCTCGAA